TTAAACTTATCGCTAATATCGGCCGATACCATGCCGATAATATTGTGCATCCCTAGTTGCAACATCTGTTTACAAATGTACTTTTACTCCTATTTTTAAGGGTGTGTTGCCACGGTGACAGAAACATGAGTCACGGTGACAGTAAAACACAAAATAGTTTTACAATAAATGTCAACCACCGAGTTTCATCAGTCAATCCTGATGCATCAGATATAAAACCACGATGATTCATGTTTTTTTTTTTGCAAAACATTAGTTTTGGACTTACATTTATTGTAATACATGAGGGAGTGGAGCACGGCGGCGCAACTGGTAGAGCTGCTGCCTCTCAGCGAGCAGGTCCTTGGTTCAAACCCCAGTCCAGGGGCCTTTCTGGGTGGAGTTTGCATGTTCTCTCCGTGCATGCGTGGGTTTTCTCTGGGTGCTCCGGTTTCCTCCCACAGACCAAAAACATGCATCTTAGGCTGATTGGTAACTCTAAATTGTCCCTAGGTGTGAGTGAGAAAGTGAATGGTTGTTTGTCTCGTTTGTCTCTATGTGGCCCTGTGATGGACTTGCGACCCGTCCAGGGTGTACCCCGCCCCTCGCACAGTGATTGTTGGACATGGGCACCAGCGACCCCCATGACCCAAAATGGAAAAAGCAGGTAAAGATAATGGATGGATGGATGAGGGAGTGGTGGGGCAGAGGTTAGAGAAGGTGCTCAGAAAGTCGCCCGTTCAACTCCCCATACCAACAACATCAAAATGTGGGTGGGAAATGTGAAGCACCCACACCTGCCTCCACCCTCATTTGTCCCACTCGGGTCCACTGAGCAAGGCCCTTAGCCCCCACCTCTGCTCTCCTGGGCGCCCTATGGCGGCTCTCTGCTCCACACAGAGGGTTGTGGTAGCTCATTGGTATGTGGTTGCATCAGGAAGGGCATCCGTCATTGCAGTTTGAGAAAAATATCATGTCAGTAAAAAAAATAAATAGAATAAAAAATATAAAATTTCTTACCTTTCTGTCGTGTATTTCACACCATTTCCCATCTTAAGACTTGAAATGTTAGGAAGTAGATAAATCTGAAAATGATCTGGAAATTAGACACTAATTTCTAATAATGGTTCAAGAGCCAACAATTTTTTTTTTCTGTTTTGTTTCAGGGAAGTATCTTTACATAGAGAGCTCCCATCCATCCATGAAAGGGAACAAAGCCCAGCTGAAGTCCTCTCTGCTGCCACCTGCTGGTGAAACTGGATACTGTTTCACCTTTTGGTACCACATGTTCGGATCCACTGTGGGCTCCTTAAAGATGCTTCTAAAAACACCCGATACACAAGAAGGAACACTGGTAAAAATAAAATTAAATATTCTAGCTTAAATTATTCTTAACTGTGGACTTTTTCATTCATTACCACAGTTGGCTTCCTGTTTTTTTGTTGGGTTGTTTGTTTTGTTTATTTTGTTTTTATTGTTCTCTACATTTTTTGCAGTTTATTTACTGCATATTTTAACTATTCATATATCAAAACGATCAGCTCATTATGAAGATGAGGGGCCAGCATTTCGCTATATTTAGATTTTATCTGGTCTTTTGCTTTTTTAGCTTTAAGCTACTGCTCTGCTACTTTAAGCTTTTAGCTTTTAGCATGCCTTTTGCTACTTTAAACATTTAGTCAACCTATTGCTATCGTTTGCTTCTAATTAGCATTTTTATTCTTCAAGCTTGTAGCATCTTGCAACTTTTGATTAGCCTTTTATTACTTTCAGCTTTTAGATCGTTTTTACTTTTAGCCTCTAGTTAACCTTTCATACTCATATCTAACTTTTCGCTACTTTAGATTTTAGCTACCCATTTGCTTCTTTCAGCTTTTGCTCCCTTTAGCTAGTATTTTGCTACTGTTACCATTTAACTTTCTGCTTCTTTTAGCTTTAATAAGTCAGTTGTATCTAATTCAAAAAAACTCAGCAAAGGTATTTCATAATCTGCATTTTCATTTAAAAAATCCATTTTATTTTAGTTCACTTGATGTTGAGTGCAGCGAAAAAATTTGACAGAAGGTTTCCAGTCAACAACGTTAGTGTGGACACTTCCCCCTGCCACAGTGTGAAAAACACTATGCAGCGGATTGTGAAATATTTGTGGCTGTTTCCTCTAAAATGTCTCCCTGTTATAATACGTTTCTCACAGTTGTGAAATGCTGATTACACAATAGCACTGGTGCATGGGATAATGTGCACAAGCTGCACAATTTCAGCGCATAACTCACATCCTCATTGAAAATGAATCAGCCTCCTGCCTTTCCTGTAGGTGTGGCAAAAATCAGGAAACCAGGAGGATGAGTGGCAGCTGGCTCAGAGCCATGTGACCCTGCAAAGAGTCCACCAAGTGGTTCTGGAGGCTTCGGCAGGAGGAGAAGCAGGAGACATAGCCATTGATGATCTCAGCTTCATCCGTGGACCATGTCATGCCTCTGGTAATAAGACTAAAACATTTTTTTTTAAACTGACCTTAAAAGCAACAACACAAAATAAGTTATAGTCTTTGCATAAAGTAACACACAATTTTTGTAGAATTTTAACAAAAACATTGATGGTATTCAACTTTTTCCTCTCATAAAAAGCAGTAAATGTTGTTAAAGTAGTTTAGAGCTGCCTTATGTCTTACTGCTTGCATCAAGTAGTTGTTGGATTTGGTCCACCACTGTAAATATCTTGACCTCTGTCAAGATGTTTAGACCTTTAATAAGGTTTAATGCATTTATTGAAGGATATGTGCATTTCTGCAAAAAAACAAGTACCATTTTGCAACATGTGACTTCTGTTGCATCATTTTGTCTTGTAGACTTGTGCGACTTTGAGGAAGGCAGCTGCAACTGGCAGCAGGAAACAAATGATAACTTTGACTGGGTCAGACAGTCAGGCCACGACTCCAACACGGGACCAGAGGTCGACCACACCACCAACACGGCCACGGGTCATTACTACTACCTGCCGTTCTCCATCAATGACCAGGGAGGCCAAACGGCAGCCATGATGTCACCACTGAACCCCGCGAGTACGAGTCGCTCTAAATTTTGATTTGACTCAGACCACAAACGGAAGATGCTTCATAAGAGAAATAATATTTTCTGTGATGATACGATGTGAACGCTGTCTGCTGAACACGTCGCTGATGAAGCTGAAACTGAACTGTTAAACCAAAAGATAGATTAGCTAAAAGGTAAAAGGAGAAAACGCTAGGTAAAACACAAAAAAATCTAAACACTAGTTAGATACTAAAGCTTCAAAAACACCAGCTAAAAGATAAAAATAGCATAAACTAGCTAGAAGCTAAAAGTAGCAAACTAGCTAAAATCTGCTCAAGTTAACCTAATGCAAAAAGCAGCTAAATAATTATTAAAAACTAAAAGTAGCTAATCTAGTAGGTAAAAGTAACAAAGCACTAGCTGAATGCAGCAAACGGTTGCTTGAATGCTTAAAGCAGTAAGTAGGGTAGTTGAAAGCTAAAATAACAAAAGGCTAACTAAAAGCTACAAGTCACCAAAGTTTAGCAAAAAGCTGAAATTTGCGTAATAGTAGGTAAAAGCTAAAAATAACAAATGACAAGTAAAAACTAAAATTAGCAGAATGGTAGTCAAAAAATAAAGGTAGAAATTTGTTAGACTAAAAGATAAAAATAGGAAAGCTAACTAAAAGCAAAAAGTATTAACTGGCTAGCTAAAAACTGAAAGTAGCAAACATTGGTAGCCAAAACAAGCTGAAAAAAGTAGCTAAAATACAAGTAGTTTAACGGTGGCTAAAAGAAAAGTGTACCAAAAGGCCAGCTAAAAGCTAAATTATCAGAAGCATAGCTGCACTTACGAAAATTTGAACGGATAAGCTAATAGCTAAAAGCAGCAAAAGGGTAGCTAAAGATAAAAAATGACAAAAGGCTATCTAAAAGCAAACAATAACAAAAGGATAGCTAAAAGTTACAAAAGGCTAATATAAAAACTAAGTATTGGAATTACTTAGATTCTAAAAAAAAAAAAAACAAGCACAAATCAATAAATACAGGAAATCACTCAAGAAAATGTGTAAGCTCAATCATCCAGGTAGCAACAAAAAGGTTAAATCATGTCAACTGGTCCAGATGACATGATTTAATCTTTTAGGAAATGGCTCATTTTACAGCAGAGTTGTGGATATTCTCTGAGATAATCCACTTGTGACCCCTGCAGGTAAAGGCTCTTGTGTGCAGCTGTGGTTCTACATGTCTGGGAGAGGAATGGGCACCCTGAACGTTTACCAGCAGAGTGAAGACGGGAAGAAAGTTCTGATTTTCTCAGAGATGGGAGACCAGGGTCGTCTGTGGAGGTTCGCCCAGGCTTCGCTCGTGCCTCGGATTCAGCCGTACAGAGTGAGCCGCTCAGATTCACATTAAACATACAAATAAAACACACCAAGTTTCCTATTTGTGTTTCTTGTGGAGAACAAATGTGCCATGAAGAAAACATTTGATGTGACGTGCTGTGTGTTTCAGATTGTAGTGGAAGCTGTGAAGGCCGGCCCCACCATGGAGGCGGACATGGCTTTTGATGATGTGCAGCTCACGGACGCTCAGTGTCCTCCGCGGGATTTCTGTGACTTCGAGAACTCTCTGTGCAGCTGGAGCAACCTGGGTGGGGGTGTCGACCAGGGAGACTGGCTCCGTGGAGCAGGGGCCTCCCCAAACCCAAACACTGGACCGAATGTTGACCACACCACTAATTCTACGCACGGTACTAATTCAACAAATAACTGCGCAAAAATACAGAATATAGAACCTGATAAGCACAAAACCCATCACGTCTGGCTTAATACTGGTCAGGTCTAAAACATACAAGACTTCAGTTTGAAAGTAGTACACCTCAAAGTACATATACGAACACGTATGCAAAAACATTTTCCACTCCTTTCCCCACGTTTAGCAGTGTTCGTTAATAAAACGGAGCTTTCCGATGACCGTTTTGGTTGTTTCTCTTAGGTCACTACGTTTATGTGGACAGCTCAGTGGGTGAGTGGGGAGACATGTCCTTCCTGATCAGTGAGGTGTTCCAGCCGTCCTCCAGAAGACACTGTCTTACATTCTGGTATCACATGTATGGCAGCCACGTCGGGACCCTCAGAGTCTACATAAACGACAGGTCTGAGGAACGTCTGCGTTAAACGTGAGCTTTGTTTTGATCACCGACAGATTTACCGACGTGAGCCTGTCCTGTTTTACAGGAAAATGCATGATGGGGGCAACGAGGAAGGACTTCTGCAGTGGATTGAAACTGGAAACAAAGGAGACCAGTGGCTGCAAGCCAAATTGACCATTAAACACCAAGAGGCATTCTGGGTAATCATTAGATTATGATAGATTTTATCATGACAAACTAGAAAGACATATAGGAGTTTATTGAACAGCTGCTTTACTGGTTTAGAGAAAGTTTTGAACATATAAAAGGCATCATATATTTAAGAATTAACTAACTTTATTATGAGCAGGGTGGTGTTACGTTCATAAGTGTTCAGAGTTTATTGAAAAGTGTGCAGCCTCTGAACGTGTGTCTTCTCCACAGTTTGTGTTCGCATATCAGAAGGGGATGAGTACAGGAGGAGACGTCGCTCTCGATGACATCACCGTCACGCCCAGCAGCTGCTTCCCAGAGCCTCCCATCAGTCCCAGTGAAAACAGTAAACAATATTTTATCTGAGATATGATCAACAACCAAACTTATTGTGGGTATTTCAGAAAATTAGAACAGATGATCTTAAAACTGTAGAAATCTTGTGAGTGCTGGTTCAACATTCACATCATTGTTTTTCTCTAGTTTTTTTTTTTTTGTTGTTGTTTATTTGTTTTGTTGTATATTTATTGCGATTTCACTACTTCTGGAAACTTTATGATATTTTAGCTAATTGTATATCAAAACATTCATTTCATAAAGGAAATCGGTGCTATGACTTTTGGTTTTTGTAACTTTTAGAAGTGTTTTATATTCAAAATATTTCACAATAAATATTTTTTTCATGGAAACACAATGATATTACCAGTAATCAGTTCATTTAAAAAAAAAAGTTATCTTTGAAATCTGCTTCAACATACCAGCATATAACATTCTGCTACTTTTATCATAATAATAATAATAATTTAATCAATGTGTACTGCATTTTACATTTTACATTATCAAAGTGCTACAATATAAAACAGCTAGAGAGAATAAAACATGGACTAAAAAAACTGAAAAACTAAAAACTGCAGAATTAAAAATACCATTAAATACTATACTTTTACTTTTATTGTTTAGCCTTTTGCTTCTTTTAGCTTTAACCTTTTAGCTAGTATTTTGCTGCATTTATTTTTTTATCTACTGTTTGGTTCTGCTGGCCTTTCGCTACTTTAGTTTTTAGTCTTGTGCTGATATTTTAATAGCCATCTGCTACTTTTAATTTGAAGTATATTTTTGCCATTTTACTGTATTTACTTAACCTTATGATACATTTAGCTTTTTACTAACTCATTGGTTTCAGCAGGTGTTTTGCTACTTTTAGCTTTTGGCTAGCATTGAGCTAGCATTATTTAACTTTAAGCTACTATTTTTCCTCTTTATAGTTTTTAGCTACTGTTCTGCTTCCTTTAACTTTAACAACAATTTCAGCTTCGTCTGCAAGTTTCCACAAAGCACTTCTGCACTCAGTACTGCATATTTACAGAATGAGCTGTGGGTTTTTGTTTGTCTTTTGTTCATTTTGTAAACATTTAAAAGTCATCCTCGGCTAACATCACGGTTTGCTGCTCGTGCAGGTGCTCTGTCTGTCGGTCTTGCGGTCAGTCTGACTCTGCTGGCTGCAGTCGTCGTCACCGTTTTGCTCTTCATGCTGAACCAGAAGTGTAACTCAATGTATGGAAGAAGTGATTCAATAAATAACAAACATATTGGTGCAGAAGGTACATTTAAATCAGTCATTTTAATTTATTTTGTCTCTGTCTTTGTATTTATATTTTAGAAATCAGCCGCTAATTATGGAAGATGAGCTGACGGACCTGAACTCTGTGTTGGACACGGCTGACAGTAAAAGACATGTAAGAACTGTTTTTACCTGAAGTCTTTGTGGTGATGGAAGCATGCTGCAGCTTTACAAACGCTGCATGATTTAAATATTTGTTGCTGTTTTCAGGGAACACAACAAGAATCTGACGTCTCCTTCTTCAACATCCTTTACGATCCATCTTCGCAGACGAGCAACAGCACCGTGGACACATCAGATGCTTAGAGCTGCTTTTACTTTAGGATGTTGTAATTTTATTGAACGTGGAAAGAATATTGTATTTATTTAATTTTTCTTAAGAATGGGTGTAATAAAGATAAATAAGAGATTTTCATGGTATTTTGTTGACTTTTAATAAATTGTTTTGTGTTTATATTCTGACAACCAAAAAAAGACTCAGACTGTTTGAAACATTGCTTAGTAAAAAAAAAAGTTTTACTTGTTAGTTTGTGTGTTTTGATTCGTGGACATAACCAGTTGTGATCCACTCAAGCAGAAGTAT